CCCCTGAAGTTGTCAGAACTAGATCTTACATGTATATCATTCAGAAGTTATCTTCCTGTGAAATTTTAATCAGTTTAAAGATCATCCAGTACAGGTAGCCATCCCAATCTTTTAAATTTGACATATAGCAATCTGTTATATACAGTACTCCAGAGTTAATCATTATGTTATGAAATAATTTAAAAATGAGAAAGTATTATTCAAGAATGACTGCTGCTATGCTGCAGACACTACATAATCCGTTTCCAAGGCTTTGTGGAAGTACAGCATGGTCAAACTTCAGAGGAAATGCTCTCTAAGGGAGGAGGTTCACCTACAGAGAAGGTCTCTCTCAGTACCAACCACATCTAAGCAAGTTAATCTTGTCTAAACTTACTGGATGGGCAGAAGCAACTGAAAATCATCAACTCAATAAGAATTCAGGACCTATATCAGAAAGGGCTTCATAGGTGACAAATTTTATTTTGAATTGCACATCCAAAAGCCAGAACAGTGCAAAGGAGTGGTGCTACATGGAAAAGACAGGACATGCCCATTATTATTCCTGTTACTGCATTCTGGACTAACTTTAACTTCTGAGTAATTTTCAAGGTTGGTCCCCATATAAAGTACCTTAAATAGTCCATGCAGAATCCACACACAGCACACTGTACTAAATATATTCAAACTAAGGAGTATGACAAATTGCTCAAATCAACTGTAAGTAAAATAATGGCTTACCTTGATATGAGAGACATAAAAGCTGCTTTGAAAACAGTACACTATTTGTTTTGATCCAATATAATAGTGAAGAAGTCACCAACATGTGCATTTAAGATAAAAATCTACACAGGATGATTTATTTATAATTTAAAATTGGGTTAATTCTACCCAACAAAAACAACATTTTGCAAAAGTTCTGTCAATGGAAACATATACTATACTTATTCACATAGGCTAAAGAGAAGTATTTGAAATCATACTTACAAGCTTTGCTTGCTGGGCATTTACAGGATCACCATATTGTAACAATGCTTGAAACTGGTTGTTTTTTGTGAAAGTAATTATTTTCAAGACTGCACCAAATTTAGAGAATATCTGTTGGAGGGGGAAAAAAAAAATGAATATTCATATATTCAATAAACATATACATACAGCATACCACATTTATTAAAAACAACATCATTTGGTAGCATTCAAACTTACAGTGGAAACAAAATTGTATTAAAGTAGGAGAAGTGTTCAGCTGAGCTCCCTGAATGGCCCTGTACTGGGCGCAAAATGGGGTGAAATATCATCCCTTCATTTCTACAGGACCTGCCACTACCCTTTGACTCTTCCTTCATGTCACATCCCAGATTATTTGTTGTACTTCCACTGCCACCATCTGTCTTAGGTAGGATGAAAAGCGGGGCTTCCTCTCCCTTAATACTGGGTTGTGAAGGAAATAGGGCAGTGATGGCGAACCTTTTAGAGACTGAGTACCCAAACTGCAATCCAAAACTCACTTATGCATCATCTAGTGCCGGGTGGGTGTGGCCCATCGGTGGGTGTGGCCAATTGGGTGGGCATGGCTGCAGTGGTAATGGCAGACTGGGTGGGAATAAAAAGTTCAATCAATCAATTCCAACTTTGCAAGATCTTCCCGCGAGAAGTTGAAATTGACTGACTGAACCTTTTTTTTGCACATGGTGGCGGAGGTCTAAAGGGAAAAGGTTTTATAAAACCCAGGTGAAGGCCTAGGACTGGGGTGACGGCGCGCATGCCCACAGAGAGGGCTCTGAGTGCCGCCTCTGGCACACGTGCCATAGGTTCGCCACCACTGAAATAGGCATGCCATAGCTTGCTTGCCACTAAATTTGGAATCATCATCATCATCTCAGCATAGTCACTTCCTGGTTATTGAAGCATGTAAAAATGAGAATGAAAATTACTCATAAAGGCAACTTACTTGGTGAAGAACATCAAGAGTTACTGGGTAATACATGTTGTCAATAATTATTCTAAGGACTGGACTCTGAGCTGGAGTTACTGCACTCTCACTAACTGCAGTTCCACTTATGGGAGTATTTGTTGTCTGTACAGCAGTTACTGCTTGTAGGACAGCTTGAGCTCGCTATATGCAAAGAAAAAGGAAAAAAAAATAATGCACGTGGATTAAGTTTAGAGATCAATAAATTCAGTAATTGCCTCAAACCATGTTGAAAAACAATCACAATAACAACTCTTTAACTATTTCTAACCAAAGAAAAATCACCATCCACATTAGCTGAAGAGAAGCTAAAAGTGAATTATGCATTAAGACTGGTTGCTCAAACACACTAGGGCAGAACATACTGAAAGATTAGCTACTAGTAAGTAGAAAAAAAATCTAGGACATATTGTAGATTTACAAGCATGCATGTTTGATATTTGTATTTCTTCCCATGAGCATGAGACCCACTGTTCTTTAATCTATTCTGTAAAGAAACATGAGAAAAAGAAGCAAAGCACTGCCATTTCTTGTAAAATAACTCTCAAAATCTATAAATAATTTAGTTTTTAATTTTTGGTAATCTATTTTCCTGTAAAAAATATTTATAGCGAATAAATTTAGTACAGAATTTTGTTAAATCTGTTTTCTTTATCCACTTTTTCATTGGAAAATATGATAGGAATATGCCTCATTTTTTTTAACTAGATGAACTACTTCCCCCCCGCCAAAAAAAATCACATTAACTTTAATCTCCTTACTAAAAAAAAAAATCTAAACAAAAGCAAACATTAGTGCAGGAAACAATTGTAAAAACAAAAATTTAGAACAATTACACATTAACAGAAATCTATAATTTATAACAATGTGCACAGGTTCAAAGAAATGAAAGAAATGAAGTTTAATTCAATGATACTTTCATTATCTCAAAAAAAAAAAAAACAGATCAAAGTGAAGACCTATTTCAAAAGAGCAACTGAATGACATGCCTTCAAAGTACTTTATATTTCAAAGTGCTTTGCAGATTTGATGGCTTTCCTTCTATTTCTGGGGTTGTATACCTCAACTTTCATTTTCATATATGGAGAACAGTAGTAGCTGTATTCTATGATGAGATCTGTGACTCAGATATTGGCATAAGTATGTTTTATTTCATTCAGCTCTCTGCTTGATTAACAGAGCTGTTTTGGGTAGCAAAGCAACACTGCTTTAGGTACTGTTCATGTTCTCAGCTCTCAACCTTGGCCAGCGTCAAGTCTTAATTTTGTTCTCTTATGCTAATTAAATGTTACTCTTCTTTAGAGGTCCTGCGAACATAATTGTGAGCTGAACTCAATGCTCAACACTGCATACTTTATGTACTATTGTTGTTATATAATATACTCAGCAACTGATAGAAATTTAGGATCAATTCATGCTTCATCCAAAGTCTTAATAATTATCCACATACTTGACAATAATATATATGCAATTTCAAACATTTTTTTAATTATTTTACTAGATGTTTTATTCCATCTTTATTATGTAAGTAATTCAAGATGGCAAAAATACACAATACTCCTTTCCCCCTCCTATTTTCTCCACAACAACAACTTTATAAAGTGAATAGAGCTTAGAGACTTGTCAAGTCACCCAGCCAGCTTTTATGCCTAAGCTGGACCAAAACTCAGTCTCCTGTTTGTAGGCCAGTACCTTAACATTGCATCAAACTGGCTTTTTTTGTAAGCTAAATGCTGTGTGATCAAGTAATTCTAGTTTTTTTTTTATTGTAAAGATTTATTAAGTTTTTTAAAATTTTACAAAAAACAAAACAACCCATCCCCAAACCTCCCCAACCCTCCCATTCCCTCCCCCAACCTTCCCAGAGCTAGACATAGGCTTAATTAAAATTTCTTCAAATAATCTAAAAAAAATATATAAACCATGAATAAATCTAAATACTAAATACATTAATTAAACAAACTATAAGATAATTAACAATAATATATGTTTAAGAAAACATAAACACCAAACGAATACTTAAAAAAAAAGAATAAAGAAAAAGAAAAAAGAAAAAGATAAAAGAAAGTATAATAAAAATAAAAAATAAAAAAAGAAATAAAATCTATAAAATAATTTAAATTTTAAATATAAGTTATTGAAAAGCTAAATAGTATTTTTTAATATCCAACTTATATTGTATAAAATCTATCCATTTTTTCCATACCGCAAAATACTTCTCCTGCGATTGATCCTTCAAGAAAGCCGAAATCTTTGCCATTTCCGCCAAATAAGAAACTTTAAAAAATCACTCTTGCAAAGTAGGCAAAGATTCCTTCTTCCAACATTGCCCTACTAGCAGCCTTGCGGCTGTAATTAAATTTAACATCAGTGTGGTCTCTTTAGTATCACAATCAGTAACAATACCTAACAAAAACAATTGTGGGGTAAATTTTACCCTCCTTCTAAAAATTCTTTGAATATTCCACCATATCTTAATCCAAAAGGCTTTTATATTTTTACACGACCACCAAATATGATAGTAAGTAGCATCCAAACAACCACATCTCCAACATTTAGGCTGTAAGTCAGGATACATACGAGACATTTTTTGTGGATCAAGGTGCCATCTGTAAAACATTTTATAAAAATTCTCCCTTAAATTCTGGGCTTGTGTAAATTTGACATTCCTCACCTAAATAATTTCCCAGGTATCTAGTAGAACTGGTTCACCAAAATTTTGTGCCCATTTGATCATACATTCTTTAATTAATTCTGCCTCTGAATCCAATTCTACTAGCACCCCATAAATTCTCTTAATATGAGTTCGTCTTTGGTCTTTTACTTGTTTAAGAAAATTTTCATCTTCTCTAAGTAAACCCACATTACGATCTAACTTCCATCTGTCCACTATTTATCTATACTGAAACCATAAATATATAATATTTTCTTGTGCTAGATTTTCCAAAGATTTTAATTGCCAATTTTTACCATCCCATCTAAGTAATTGTGCATAAGAAACACCATCCATCTTAACTCCTCTCCTTATCCCCTCTATCGCATGCCAAGGTATAGCCCATAATGGGATTTTAAAATCACTTCTATAATATTTCCTCCAAACCCGAAATAAAGAACTACGCTCATTTTCTTCCATAAAATCCAGCCCATTAAAATCACATTAAAACTCGAAGTCTTCATCTGCCATGTCAATTGCCCAGGCAAATTTCTCTCGTTGAGTTTTATTATATATTTTTTTTATCAGTATTCCAAATTTCTTGCACCAAGCAACAGAAATTCTAGGATCCAGATAATTTAGTTTGGAGGTACTCAAGACTATTTGCTTGTTTTCCTCTTGGTCTGTTGCTTGAACTTCCAGTTTCATCAGCTGTTCCTCCACCCTTTGTACAGCCTTCTTCTTAGTTTCCACAGTCTTTTTAGACTTCTCATCCCTTCGGATCTTGGCATCAGCTTTGGCGCTTTTTAGTTCTCTCTTGGCATCGGCCAACTGTTCCTTCTTGGCATCAATCTTGGACTGTAAATTCATCATGGATTTTTCAAAGATTTTTGGAGGTGCCCTCTGGTGGTTGCAAAGAATAGCAACAGCTCTGTTGGCACGGTTGTAAGACAGGATCTTTGCTGCGATGTTATCATCCGAGGTTGTCAGTTCCTTCAGTTGTTGCTGTAGTGTAATAGAGGCATTATATGTTCGGAATACCTTAGCTGTCAGCCCTTCCATAAGATCTTGAAGATGCTTATTTAAAATGCTGGTATTAAGTCTATCAAATAAATCATCTTCTGGCTGCTTATTCTCCATGAATAACTTAAATACCCTTTTCTCAACAGGTACTTTGTTATAGTATCTTATGGAGTCTTTTCCGGGGAAATCAAATTCTACTACATATTCCTGACCATCTAATTCTGGATGCAAATTAATATGTTCCACACGGAGGGAGCAACAGCCCACTGTGTCAGCAATCTCTCCTTCTTCTTTCTCATTGCCAGCTCTCAGAGCAAGTTTGTCAATGAAGTACAATGCCACAGCCCTTTGCCGCACTTTCATCTCTTTGGATTTCCAATCTTCTCGATATTGATTTCAAATCCTATCAACGCATTTCTTTAATCTCCGAGCTATCTCGTATTTCTGCCAGTCTTTCTCACCCTTGATTCTAGAGCTGGGATTCAACATGATGTACTTAATAGATCCTTGAATATTCTCAGTCCATGATACCAGCCAGGTTACTTTATTATCATGCCAAATCTCTTTCCATTTATGTCCAGGAGAAGGAGGAGGGACTTTAGAATTCTTGCTACAATTGATGATGATGTCTTCAGGCATTATTCGTCGCTTCAGCATGCCCATTTTGGGATGGTTACCACGCCCTCTGAAGAGACCTGGAGGCTCAATCTTAAAGTTGGCAATTCTTTCCTTATGGTTATCCATGATACAATAACCATATTCTTTTAATAACCGCTCGTTCTCTTCTTTAATTTTCTGCTTTTCATCCTTGGTCATTTGCTTTCTAGCTTCTGTTTGGGCCTTGAAATACTGACTCATGTGATCAAAGTCACATTTGCTGAGGCTGGTGATAATTCCCTTTTCTTCTGGAGTCATTTCCTTTCTCCAGTCTTTAAAGAAGTTTTTCCTGAAGATATCCTTTGTAGTATACTCATGATCAAGCATTTTTGCAAAGAAAGTTGCAACCTCTTCTGCTTTAGGATTGAGTTTCATGACTTTACTATCATAGTAGAATTTGACATTTTCAGGCATCGGTTCGTATGGTGGAGCAAACACAGGACCTTTGTGCTCCAAGAATTTCCATTTAATACCTTCAGGATAGCGTTCTTCTTCCCACCATTTCCATTTTTGTTCCTCTTCTTTTTTTGTTTTTTTCTTTTTCATATCTCCTGGGGGCTTCTTATCTTTGCTCTTTATTTTCTTCGGTTTGCTCTCCTCTTCATCTTCCTGTTTTCGTTTTTTTGATTTTTTTACATCTTCGGTTTTAATCTTCTTAAGTTTGTAGTCAATATCATGATCCTCTCGGGATCTCTTGTAATCTTCTTTATAATAGCCATCATCATCTATTTCTTCCTTTATACGTGGTGGACTGGAGAAGCCATTTTCCTTTTCTTTCTTTATTTTCATTTCACCAGATGATTTACTCTTTTCTTCCTTTCGCTTCTCCTTCTCTCTATCTTTGTGTTTGTCTTTGTGTTTGTCATGTTTTTCTGAACTACCATCTTTATGTTTGGTTTTCTCCTTCTCTTTGTGTTTCTTCTCTGAAAACTCTTTGTGTTCACTGTTACTGTACTTGGATTTTTCTCTGTCTTTATCCTTCTTGTGCTCTTTGTGTCGATGTTCTCTATCTTTGTGTTTATCTTTATGTTTGTGCGAATCATTCGCTCGGAAATCTGGATCAATCTGGGAGTCGTTATGCAGCTGATCCCCACTCATGCCTATACCACAGTCGTAAGCAAGAAAAACCCGGAGAGAGGGAAGGACTTGAGGCCAAAGGAAAACCACAGCTCCCTAAACCAAGTAATTCTAGTTTTGATAGCCATTTTGACAATTACATTCCTGTAGAAAAGAGTGTCTGAATAGCTAAGGGTTGAACTGTTTTTGATGCTCTCTGAGCTTGATTGCTTGCAGATGTTTCATTACCCAACTAGGTAACATCATCAGTGCAAATGAGGGGGGTAGCGGTTGTTGCCTGTTTATTTGTATCAAAATGTCACAAGTTTTAATGTTCAGAACAAAATTTAGGCATTTCTTCAGAAATATGAATTGGGGTGCAAAAGGCTTAGCTGACAATAATCTGATGTTTGCCCCAGCCTCATTAACTGTCCCCTTTCTTTGGTAGAAGAAATCAATAATGTATTTATACAAATATTCAAAACATATAACCAGGTGCTACAACAGAAAACAGGAAAGTTGGATCAGTCAATGCATCCATCTATCAAGGTGAAGCCTTCAGCTTTTCAATTTGCATGATGTGCTTCTTGGCTTAATTTAAATAAGGCACTGCAAGTAGTTTTCAATAAAAAAATCACTTCCAGTTTTCTGGTTTAGTGTGCAATCTGAATACCCAAATCTATCCAGCCCAATTATAAAATCTGTTAACATTCCCAATAAGTTTCAAGGACAAATTTTGGTTTTCAAATATAATGGAAATAAAAAGAGTCAACAGGCAATAGAACCTGACCTATAGCTCAAAGTATCTATCATCAAGCTAGATATCAGTTCCTGGTATGAAAAAAGTATTACCTCTCTTATTAAAATATAGATAGGAATCATACATTTCTATTCTTCTGGTTCTTCTTCCAGTTCTACATTTTTGTTAGCATTAAGATGGCATAGGATAAAATAACTCAAGTTGTGAATACTTAATTTTGGATTATTTTTTAAAAAATATGAGATGTGAAGGCATATTCATATGGAATAATTATTATTTTCACCCAAAAATCCTTAACTCCCATGCTCTTAAAGACAAAAACATAGGGAATGTGTGTTAGTTTAATTGGACAGCTGTCATATTTGCTGGATGTTTAGTAATGCATAATTGCAGAAATGTACAGAAATATGCTCTAAAGTGTATTGCCACAACTGCCTCTATTACAACCATGTGTGTATCACTCCGAGTTCAGCAGAAGCAGGATTTATTCACTAGGCCTCATTTTTGCACAGGTTTAGTCTCAATTATTGAAGCCAGTGATTTATTTATCATGGACAATCATTATCTGACTGTGATTAATAAACTTCAAATTGATGGAGAGCCCAAACATAAATGCCTACCCTTGAAGATCCATTGGTATTTTCTAAGATCTCTCATTAAATTTCTTATAGGCTGCAATCTTCTCAAGGCATTAGGTTGTGATATATTGATAAAAGATTTTGTTTGCCAAATGCACTAGGACAAAATATGTTTAAATAACCTGTGTCTTACTGTGTAGTTAATTTTTGGTTCTGTGTCTAATGAATTGGGATCATTCATTAGATCATGGTTCAGTTACCTAGGGATCAACACATAATATAAACACAGCTGATGGATCTGAATGTTCTCAATTCAAAGACATTCTGGCTCCTCTGGTATTCCTGAGAGCTGAAGACAATTAAATGATGTGTTTGACAGCTAGAGTGCAGGTGGCATGACATGATGATGAGCATGACTAAATAACAAAAAAATATTACTTGTTTCCATTGTTGCATATGCCCTAATGCTGGCTAGTAGATAATTTGTGTGATAAAGAGCCTTTTGTGCATGGACCCCAGGTATCCTGCTGTGCAAACCAGCTGAAGGATTGCTGTTACTAATTTGCAATGCATTTCTCATATAAGTAATTTGCATTTACAATTATATGGATATGACAGTTTGAACCAACAGAGATGGATGCAGACATGACACCATCTGGTCCTACATTTTGGCTTATCCAACCTGAGGATATTAACTTTGGAGGATTGAGGCATACAATTGTTTTCTGGAATCTTGTCTTTTAAAAATTTTGGAATGTTAAAACTTGGGCTTATTATATGAAATTCAGGTAATGCAAACACCTCATTGAGGAAAGCTATAGTTACCATCATATTAATAAAGACAAAAATAATAAACTTTGACAGAAAAATATTAGATCTAATCTAATTTTGGTTTAACTATAGGAACATAAATATCTGGTTACAACTGGTGGATAACTTCATACCAAGCACAAGATAAAATGCATTTATTTTAAAAAAAAATTATATGAAGCCGATTCCTATTTATGGCTTTAGAGACTTTACAAATAACCGTGTGGAATAAAAATGTGTAAACCTCAACTGAAAGACTGAATGGCCTGCGTAAATAAATGATTTTAACTCTCCTATTAAATTATAACAAGGAGCAGTTCACTTCAGCTTCAGCAGCAAATGACTGCAAAGTTTAGGCTCCTCAATGCAAAACACAAAAATAGCTGCTGCTGATACTATGTCTATGAAAATAAGTAGCATATTGATAGTACTATGATAATACTATCGATTCAATATATTGAATCTCAGGTGATGAGAGCTGATAGCAAAGTGTAAAGTTATAGTCTAATACATACGTACATACATACATACATACATACATACATACATACATACATTTCTACACCAGCAGCCAACCCTCAAATTTAAAACAGGTTGCAGGATTTAGACTTAATATTTTAACCTATATAAATAGGGTAATTATATTTTTGGAATTGAAACACCTTTTAAATACATTTCAGCATTAATTTAACACATTTCTATTTGGGTAAAAATATAATCCAATCAGTCTTTAATGAATAAAATCTAGACAATCAAGAACCAAGCACTTTTTCCTTAATTAAAATTATTTTTCAATTTTTAAACAGCTTCTGAACGCTTTTTAAAATGAATTGCTGGTGTTTATATCAATATAGTGTTCTGGAGGACGCTACAAAAATTTGTCAATACTTTCTTCCAAGACATTTTTTTTAACTTCATCATCTATCATATAGCCTTGAAATTCTCAGGCAATGCCCCCATCAAAGTACTAATTGGGATGGCCCTTAGTTTATGACATAACCTAAGGTCAGCTAGATACTGCCATTCACTGAGGCATTCACTGAGGAATCAGTTTATTGTGATCGACACAATGGCTATGGAAAAAAAAAATCCAATTTAAAACAAATGTGCTTCTATATTTCAAATGAGAAAAGTCCCTAGGCTAGGATTAACAAAGAAGACTGGAACAGAAAAACACAAAATACTTGTTAAACCATTATTCAGAATGATAAGTAATAGAAAAAACAAAGATGAAGATGTTACCATTTGACATAGCATGGGTCAGTGCTGTTTTTACATTCCTTCATGAGAAAAGAAATATCAAACACTTAAAATGGTCCATGAAGTTAGTACCTGCATAACTGTAGCTTTACGGTTGAAGCATGAATAGTTTCTTCATCTAAAATAATACATTTTATATATCTTCAAGATCAAGTAACTATATACTCAGTTATTCCCACAGTGAATATGAATGTCTTTTCAATAAGTTATTTATTAGAAGAGCAGATCATAATAGGGTGAGATTGAGTTTCAAAACTTGAATGAATTATTTAAATATACCAGAAACATAGTTCCACGTTACTGTATCTATGTAGCAAAGTAACCATTTTTCCCAGGTTAACTTGAGCTCTTGTGCCAGAAAGATTATTCATGTTAAACATGGTTAGATCCTATTAATAAATGCTAATTTACTACATAACTATAAAATAATTTCCAATATTCTGAAACATTTTATAAATACAGAACAGCATATACACATTAGTCACATGATTAATAACTATAATGTTACCTGATTAAGTGTATTATCAGTCTTTAATTCTTTATGATTTGAATACTGAATATATATAGGTTGATTGCGAAGATGAGGTGTCACAGCAGAATAATAATTTACCATAGTGACAGCAGCTTCTTCTGTTGCCAGCTCTAAAAAAGCCTAGGAAAAAATATATATACATAGCCATATAAAAAAAGAAATTACTATCACATCTATAAATCTATCCATTCACCTATCTACTTTTAGAATCATAGTCTGGTAATACATTAAAAATATTTACCAAAATTATTTAGAATGTACAACTTATAAAGAACCACACACACTTTATATGTGCATACACATGAACTAAATCAATATATGCCCCTCTCCCTGGCTTCTATAACATGCTATAGCCTCTCCCTTTATGCTGGTCTACCACCATAATAAAGATTTGGTTTAATTTATGCTCTTCCTTATGATCAATATTCCTTAGATCAGGGGTGTCAAACTGCTGGCCTACAGGCTGGATGCATCATCCGGAAGCCGTGCCCACCCCACTGCCGGCAATGGCAAAACCGGCCCGATACGTTGCGTGATGTCATGTGACAACACGAGTTTGATATGTCTGCCTTAGATCATTATATGTATAAACATAAAATCACAGCTGTCATTTTAGTTTGAGAACATTCACATGAAGCAAACTTAAGCTTAAGAGTATTAATGAGATTATTGACATCATTCAGGACAAAAACTAAACTCTAAGGAACTAAAAAGACTGAAAGGCACAATCTAAATAGGCACAAACCTTTAAAACATGATTAAATCAATAATTTCTATATTCTTGATTTTTAACTTTTAAATACATCTTCACTGTAGCAATAAGTTAAAAAGTTATTACATTAAGTGCTTCCCACACTGAGTCATGATATGTAACTTTTATTATTTATCTATTAAATAAATTAACAGCATTATATAGAATTTCATATGTTAAAGATTCTCAAATGCAAAAAGAGTGCTAGAAATGGAAAAAAATACGAAACTTCTCCGAAAAAGTACTTTATCTTCAAAAAGAAAGAAAATATATTTTAGAAAGCTCATAAGAAAAATGTCCATTAGCTGATGTTAAGAACCTGATTAATCTTAAAATATTGCTTCATAGCATTTGATAAAAATGTATTGTGACTGCTGAGAATAATGCATTCTCTGTTTCTGTTGCAGAGGAGAAAAAGCTACAAAATAACTACAGTTTATTTACAGTATAACAGGTTAGATTATCTTCCAGTTTTGATCTGAAAGAGGACTGGGAGCTGTGAGATTATTGGCGTGAACACAATCAAGAGGAGAGAGATTTCACTTTCTTTTCAGATAGACATCAATCTTTTTCAAGAATTGACTTTTTCTTGATCAAGATCTTACTTTACCAAAAAATTATAGGCCTATATCTCTTTTAAATGTGGATTATAAGATATTTGTAAAAATTTTGGTAAATAGGCTTATGAGGGTGGTGCATCATCTTGTGCATAAAGATCAATCAGGGTTTATAACAGGAAGGTATATGAAAAACAATGTTAGACAAATTATTAATCTATTAGAATACTTAGATAAGAACAACCAAGTTCCTGCAGGGCTCATATTTTTAGATGCTGAAAAAGCATTTGACCAATTGAATTGGCATTTTATGCTAAGAGTAATGGAAGAAATGAATTTTGGTGAAAACATATTACAAGCCCTTAAGGTAATATATCAAAAACAAACAGCACAACTTATTGTTAATGGAGGTCTTTCGGAGGTTTTCACAATAGAGAAAGGTACTAGACAGGGGTGTCCTTTATCGCCATTGTTGTTTGTTTTAACATTGGAAATATTATTGATCAAAATTCGAGAGTCTCAGGAAATTAAAGGAATATATGTTAATAAAAAAGAATATAAGTTAAGAGCTTTTGCGGATGACTTGGTTGTTACTTTGTCGCAACCTAATTATTCTGTAGTAAACTTATTACAGTTGATTCATCATTATGGCTTGGTCTCGGGTTTCAAGATTAATGTAAGTAAGACCAAAATTTTACCTAAAAATATGTCTAGTCAGGAGAAGCAGATTTTGACTAACCTGACGGGTTTTGAGATTGTTAATAAGGTAAAATATTTGGGGGTGATGTTGTCTGTTTCTAATGTAAAATTATTTAAAAATAATTATGAAAGGTTGTGGGTCAGGGTACAGAAGGACTTGAAGAACTGGGAAAAGTTGCAATTATCCCTCATGGGAAGAATTGCAGTGATAAAAATGAATATTTTACCTAAGTTTCTTTTTTTGTTTCAAATGCTACCAATTTTGAAAAATGAGATTAATTTAAATGAGTGGCAGAAGGGTCTTAATAAATTTATCTGGGCAGGGAAAAAGCCAAGGGTTAAGTTTAAAATTATGCAAGACTTCCGTGAGAGGGGTGGACTTAAGGTACCAAATTTGAAATTATATTATGATGCGGTGGTTTTAACACTAATCAGTGATTGGGTAAATTTGACAAACTCTGAGATACTTTATCTAGAGGGATGGGACTTACTTTATGGGTGGCATGCCTATTTAATATTCAATAAAAAAATGGATTGGGCTTTTAAATCTCATATCTTAAGAATCTCTTTACTTAGGATTTGGAGAAAATATTATAAAAGTGATTTCAAAGTACCATTATGGGCTATACCTTGGCATGCGATAGAAGCAATAAAAAGAGGGGTTAAAATGGATATGGTGTCTTATAGACAGTTACTTAAATGGGATGGACAAAACTGGCAATTAAAATCACGGGAAGAGTTAGCACAAGAAAACTTTATTTATTCTTGGTTCCAATATAGGCAATTACTAGACAGATGGAAGATGGATTGTAAGGTGGGTTTTCTTAGAGAAGATGAAAATCTTATTAAGCAAGTGAAGGATTCAAGACAAACCCACATTAAGAGAATTTATGCGGTTTTAGTTGAATTGGATTCAGAAACGGAACTAATTAAAGATTGTATGATAAGATGGGCGCAGAATTTTGGTGAGCCAGTCTCATTGGACACCTGGGAAAAAATTTGGGTGAGAAATGTCAAATTTACACAAGCACAGAACTTAAGGGAGAATTTTTATAAAATGTTTTATAGATGGCACCTTGATCCACAAAAAATGTCTTATATGTACCCTGACGTGCAACCCAAATGTTGGAGATGTGGTTATAAGGAGGCTTCCTATTATCATATTTGGTGGTCATGTAGAGAGATAAAAGCATTTTGGATCAAAGTATGGTGGAATATCCAGAGAATTTTTAGAAGGAGGGTAAAATTTACTCCGCAATTATTTTTGTTAGGTATTGTTACAGATTGTGATACAAAGGAGGTTGTATTGATGTTAAATTTGATTACAGCCGCTAGGCTGTTAGTAGGACAATATTGGAAGAAGGAATCCTTGCCTACATTGCAGGAATGGTTTCTTAAAGTAGCTTATCTGGCGGAAATGGCAAAGATCTCGGCTTTCTTAAAGCAACAAACGCAAGAGAAGTTTTTTGCTGTTTGGGATAAATGGATAAAATTTATACAATTTAGATTGGGTATACAAAAATATTATATAGTTTTTTCATAAGTTTTATTTTTATATATATTATAGATAATCTTTTTATATATATAAATATAAAGTTTTTAATTTAATTTTTATTTTTACTTTTTAAGCCTATATTCTGCTCTGGGAAGCTCAGGGGGGGGAAGGGAGGGGGGGGTTTTCTTGGGAGGGGGGGGGTTTATATATATATGTATTGTTTAGTTTTATTTTTTTTGTATATGTTGTCT